ATGCACGTGACCGTGACTAATTTCTTACTCAAGATTGGATAATTGCTTCATGAATTATTAATGAGTTTTTGAAAGAGATTTCGAGCACTGATAAAAGTGATAATCTCACATGTGAGATTATTTATGATAATTTCACATGTGAAAATGATCGCTTTTCAATTATCGCTTTTCTGTAAAAATTATCGCTTTTCAAAGACTGTCCTTTATATAATAAACAGAAAAATACATCGCGTGTACATGCATGATATCACACTCGTGAGATATCACGTTCAACACTCGAAATAAATCTGGTATTTCCGCGCACCCATGTATTTTAATTCTCTATTTATAAAATTTCTTGCAATACTTTGACTGAGAGCTATGAGCTGTTCGCCATCTTGGATCAATTCTTAACTTCATTGGCTATCGTTTAAATGACGTCAGGAGTGGGGTGGGCTTATAAAATTGCTTCTAAGTTGCTGAATAACAATCAAAAGTTGTTTAAAATGTTTTATTCAATTCGAAATTTGAAATCAGAGCAACCAAAAACGAGTTTCGGGTTTATATTCATCACTGGCTGTCAAAATAAAAAACGTGCGTGACCCCACGTAACATGCATATTCTCAATAATCCAAGATGGCGGTCAGTTCATTGCTTTCAGTCAAAATATTTCAAGAGTCAAGCCAGTAACAAGATTTTATAGATAATTCTGAACGTAATTCTTTCAAATAAGACCATAAAAATTTTTGTTTACCGGAAATACTCTTCTCTCATGCAACAGAGTGCAGGCATTGAACCCCGTCCACAGAGCAGGGTGATAAATTTTCAAATAATGTTTCCTTGAGAGATTTGTACTTGATTGATAAATATCGTACATATAACAATGAATACAATCTTACCTACGGTCAAATTCAAGAACTCTAAATCATTTCCAAGTGCATTCGTCGCATTACATGTGTATGTTCCTGTGTCATTCCACTCCGCTCTAGATATGGCATATATGTTGACAGTGCTGACAATTCTTGTACCATTATGAATGATGGTATAACTTGGTTCTGGACGACCAATAGCCACACATATGATTGTAACTGGTTGACCCACCATTGCTTTTGACGGATTAGTGGTAAAACTTGTTATGGTTGGTTTAACTACGTTTATAAAAACAAAATAATAACATATCATAGTTAGAATTTGTACATTCTATATGGTGATACAATTAGTATGTTCTATACGAACAGTATAAAATAGGAATGCTTCGAATTGACAAGAATATACAATGGGCAATTCCATCACCACAGTTAGAAAGAGCATGTTGAAATGTGTAAAATTGCAAAGTTTGGTTGCGAAATGTTGTAAAATGCGGAAAACATAGACCTGCAAAATTTGCAAATTTTGTATTAATTTGTATTACGCGCGGGAAAATGTACCATATTTGGGCCCAAATGTGGTGCAAATTCCCGTGTGTAATACAAATGAATACAAAATTTGCAAATTTCGTAGGGCTATATTTTCAACATTTCGCAATCAAACTTTGCAGTTTTTGTAACAAACCTGCAGCAGACTTGTAGCAATGCTGTTCCAACAACTTGTCAACAGGATGTGTTCGCACTGCTTGTTCCCAGCTTGTTGACAACTTGCTACAAGGTTGTTGAGCTCAACAGACTTGTTACAAGTTGTTCCAACAACCTGTTATCGTCCTGCAATTCAACAATTTGTCAACAAGTTGTGAGTGACAATCTTGTAGTAACTTGATAAAATAACAGCATTGTTACAACTTGTTGACAAGCTTGCTACAAGCCTGTTGCAAACACACCTTGTTGATAAGTTGTGAGATTTTTACGTGTGTAAATCAAAATTTAGTCTATAGCTGGAATCACCCATTGCCTGAAAAATACAAGGCGAAAAATACAAAAATACTTCGACGCTTCGAGCGAAGGCCCTTTGTCGGGAAGTTAGTGGATTAAAGGTAAAACTTGATATGGTTTGTTTAACTGCGTTTGTAAAAAAACGACAAAATAATAAAATATCCATTATATTATAGTTACACGCACTGATTTGTATGTTCTATACAAACACTAGATAAAATAAAGCCATAACCAAATACGTGGTATAACTACTATATTTACAAATATGACTAGTGCTTGGTTTATATATAAGTTATCTGATGATTTCCAAATTATCTATTAATATATAAAACTTCAAAAACTCATTAATAATTCATACGCTTACTGGCAAATCATATCAACCATAATGTCACGTGCAGTGGTTTTAAACCTGATAAAACACTCCTAATTAGTATTCTTTATATAAAGAATACTAATAAGGCAGTATCTATTGTAGTCGTGTCCTCATTAGTATTTTTTTATATAAAGAATACTAATAAGGCAGTATTTCTATTGAATTTGTAGTCGTGTTTGAAGCCGTTTAATAAACTCGCAGAACGTGTTTTATTAGGTCTAAAGCCACTCGCGCTGCGCGCTCGTGGCTTTAAACCTAATAAAACACTCCTGCTCGTTTATTAAACAGTACTTAAAATATCTCTATGGTTGCTAAGTTGCATGCGGTGTGTAAATCCCTATAAGATTTAAACCTCGTAAAAAGTAGTTATAACTAATATTTTTATACTTTAACGACTTTACAGGTTATAATAGGTGTCCCTTATTAATTTGTCCTCAGTGTCGCAACTTGTCTTTGTAAGCTTATTGTATTGTCAGCCTATTGTCAATATTAACATACATAAAGTAAACGTGTATATAGTTGATCAATGCAAATAGCATGCAAACTGACAAACTTGTTATATTATATTATTATTATAAAAATAGGAGTGGCCTTTAAGAAAGGTAATATGAGATTAATACACAAGATTAAGAGAATAAATTTTAGTCCCAACGCTCTATAAATATGGTGTTGTATATAATGTTTGAGTATCAATCATACTTACTATCGGGCCTTACTCTCACTTCGATTGATTTTTCAGCAGTTAGAGTGTGGCTTTGGGCTTTACATGTATATGTTCCGTTATATGTTCCATTGACATTTCTAAGAATTAATGTTTGATTTTCATTTCCTGTTTCACCAATTTGGCCATCTTTATCATACCACGTCACATTGGCTGGAGGTTTGCCACCTTCACCCTTACATAGACATATGATGTCATCACCTTTATTTACTGTAGTGATGCTGGAACAACTGATTGTTATTGTTGCCTGCACTGAAATGTAATGAAATTAAACGTGAGAGTTTAATTATTATGACAAGTCATTTGTAAGATTGCAGTATACAACTCTAATCACAAAGATCAAATAATAAAGGGAGACTAAATTCTTGATAAGTGACAACTTGACTTAAGCGAAGCTATATATCTATATGACACATCGAGGACTCTGTATATAGCATTCGTATTTGAAAAGCATTAGAAAAATCACAAATTGCGCAATAATTATCGTGACCATACCCATGCATGCAAAACTAAAACGCTTCAGTGAAAGCATTACACCAACTTTGGGACAACCAGAAGTTTTACTTGGTTAAAAAGTACCTGCTATAATAACTGTAACTTCAGACACACCACTATCATCACCTGCTGTAAGGATAAACTTGTACATTCCATCATAACTTTGATTAACATTTTTTAAAATCAATGTTGCTGGCTTTTCTACTGTAACACCAGCTAAGAGGCTGTTTTTCATTTTAGGACCATTATCTCCATCTATTTCAGCAAGGTCTTCCTGTAATGTACCATCACTACTTGTAAAATACCAATACCGAAAACGCGGTACAACCCCCTTATTAATACGAAATGTCCACTCTATTCTTGCAGTTGACCCAGGTACAAAAATTAACCTCTTCCCGCAGGGTGGTGGTTTGATTTGTCCTACACAAGACAATATGTTACTAGATTATGTTTGGTTTAGTGTTCTCTTGCTTTAATTGGAATTTTGACGAACAGTGAGTGTTCAACAATTCCCTCAATGATTTGTTGGTGTATGTATGTGTGTGTGTGTGTG